AGGGACCTCCAGGCTCAGCACCTCCAGACTCCACACGCGCAGGCTCAGCACCCTCAGGCTCCGCACCCCCAGGCTCAGCAACCCCAGGCTCAGCACCCCCAGAAATAGCAACCTAGGAAATCAAGCAAAATCAAGAAAAGAAAAATATAGCTAAGCTAGATAATGCATAATAATGCAATATTAAGCAAGTAAAGTCTAGCAATGTCGTCGTACTCTCACAACTACACGCTCTACACCACGGTCTTTCCCTTGCGGAGCAAGTCGGATGTCCCCGACTTTTTGATCCCCTGGATCACTGCTGTTCATCGCCAGCTGGGAGTGCGGTTTCAGCAGGACCTCCAAGTCCTGTGACTGCACTCTGACAGATCCAGTGAGTTTTTCTCCCGCCTCCTTGAGGGATTTTGTCGTGCAAAGGGCATCGTCCAGTCTTTCACGCTTCCGGCCTCTCCACAGCAGATGAGATTGCTGAGCATCGCATTGGCTTGATCATGAAGGTTGCTCGTACCTCCATGATCCATGCGGCTGCTCCCCATTTTTTGTGGCCGTTTGCGATCCGATATGCCGCGCATCTGCTCAACCTTTTGCCCCATGTCCCTGTGCCAGAGACCTCGCCTACACTGCGTTGGATGGGGGAGGTTGGTGATGCGTCGGCATTTTGGGTCTGGGGCGCGCCCTCCCTTGTCCGCGATACCACCACGAGCAAGCTCTCTCCTCGCACTCTCTTATGCGTCTTCCTTGGCTTCCCCGCCAACGCCCCGCCTTGGCAGTTTAACCACCCTGCTTCGTGCTGGGTCCTATCCTCCCAGGAGGTCACCTTTGACGAGTCGGTCTGCTTATACCATCTCCATCCGCACATTTCTTCTCCAGTCCCAGGTCGTCTTCGTCCTCCACCTGTCCCCAACACGCACACTATGGCACTTCGTCCTTCCTTATTTCCACAGCGTGTTGCCCTGCCGTCACTTCCGGCGTCCTCTCTTCCCGACGTTCCTATCCCTGAGTTCGACCTTGCTCATGCTGCTAGTCCTACTGTCACTCCTCTCCTTGCCACTTTTGTCACTGACCCTTCCTTTGAGTATACTGTTGCGTCAGCCTTAGTCACTGAGCTCGTAGACTTTGCTGCTACTCGTCGTCTCGACTATGTCGCGAGTCTTGTTACTGAGTACGAGTCTGTCTGTCCTCCGTCCGTTGGGGGTGAGCTTGCCATTGGCAGAGACGTCCTTGAGGACAGGCAGTTTGAGCCTGAGTGTCTTGCGACCATTTTTCCTTGTGTCACGTCCATAATGCTTTGCCTTGTGGGAGACCCGGATGCACTTGACATCCCCACCCCGCGCTCTTACGCAGAGGCGATTACGGGTACTCCTCTAAGTGGCAGACAGCCATGGACACAAAGATGGCTTTCTGGAAGTCCACAGGCACCTACGTCGAAAGGTTCCCCCCCCTGGGGCGAACATAGTCGATGACATGCGGATATTCAGAGTGAAGCGGCCGCCGGATTCTCCGCATGCCTTCAAGGCGCGTTACGCTGCTCGATGCTTCAGTCAGTGACAGGGGGTTGACTTCTTCCAGACCCTGTCCCCCACCCCGAAGATTACTACTCTCCAAGTGTTACTGCACGTTGCAGCACAGCGTGACCACTAGTTCCACTCCCTCGACTTCTCCCCAGCTTTCCTGCAAGGCAGTCTTCACGAGGAGATCTAGCTGGGCCGTCCACCTAACTTCACTTGGTCGTTTCATGAGGGTACCCAGTGGAGCCTCCGGCGGCCAGTCTATGGTCTCCGCCAAGCGCCTTGCGAGTGGTACGACACACTGAGGACGACACTTGCAGCTGTCGGGTTTTCTCCTTCGACTGCTGACCCATCGCTGTTTCCGCGCACTGACCCTACTCTGCTGCCATTCTACATCCTCGTGTACGTCGACGACTTAGTCTTTGCTACTGTCGACACTGTGGCGCTGACCCTTGTGAAGGCAGATTTGCAAAAGAGACACACTTGCACTGACCTGGGTGAGACGCGTAGCTATCTTGGATCACCCGGGACAGAGCAAGGCGCACCATCACTCTGACTCTGTCACACATGGTGCAGCAGGTCCTTCAGCGCTTCGGCTTTCGGTTCTCCTCGCCACAGCCTATTCCTCTGCCTATAGGTCACTCACTCTCAGCTTCACCTTCGACGAGTCCGTATAGCCGAGTGGCCCGTACCCAGAGCTTGTGGGCTGCCTCATGTACCTGATGATGTGCACACGACCTAACCTCGCGTACCCTCTCAGCATCCTTGCTCGCGCCCGGGCGACACAAGAAGGAGCACTGGACAGCTGCGCAGAGGGTATTGCGTTACTTGTGCAATACATCGGGCATGTGGATCGTGCTTGGAGGATGGGGACTAGTGGTACTCACAGGACACTCCGACGCTTCTTGGGCCGACGACCAGGCGACTCAGCGGTCGTCACAGGGTTACTCTTTCAGTCTCGGCTCTGGTTATGTCTTGTGGAGGTCAACTCGTTCGTCTTCTGTGCTTGATTCCATCTGTGAGGCCGAAATCTACGCTGGGGCTATGTCTGCACAGGAGTTACGCTGGCTGACTTACCTGCTCACCGACTTGGGTGAACAGCTTCGTTCTCCTCCAGTTCTGTACGTTGACAACAAGGCCATGATTGCCTTTTGTCGGGGGCAGAGGATGGAGCACAGAACGAAGCACATTGCTCTTCGTTACTTTCTTGCTGGATAGTTGCAGCAGCGTGTGTGAAAATAACGAGGAATGGAATGACTAAGGGAAAGTTGGGTACAAGTACAAACCCTAGAAAAACTGTACCCCATATGTGCTACCCCACTATAGCCTACAGCAGTTATGTCATATAAATCTGACACACCCCCATAGGCAAAGTGGGGGAGAACAAGGGGTCACAAGACCAGTCAAGCAAAGCAAGGCAAGCTCAGGGTGGATCACAAAGTCACCACACATTCCGAGCACAAGTTCAAGGCCAGAAGGCCAGTTCACATGCAGGATTACATATATATATAAGGCTAGACAAGCAAGAGCAGGTGTATATATATGTAACAGTACAAACAAGGTCAAGGGGTGAGCAAGTGAGGCAAGGCAGGCACAAGACCAAGCTGAGTACAGAAGCGCTGATGATCACAAGGCGCAAGTGCCTTGGTGAAGATATCAGCAGTGTTGGCCTGAGAGGCCACGTACGCAAGACGCAGCTGACCACGCTGCTGTAGCTCACGAGCAAGGAAGTAGCGAAGAGCAATGTGCTTCGTTCTGTGCTCCAGTCTCTGCTCCCGACACAAGGCCAGCATGGCCTTGTTGTCTACGTACAGCACTGGAGGAGAACGAGGCGGCTCTCCGAGGTCAGTCAGCAGGTAGGTGAGCCAGCGAAGCTCCTGTGCAGCCATGGCTCCTGCGTAGATCTCAGCCTCACAACTGGAGCCGAGAACAGAGGACGAGCGGGTAGCCCGCCACGAAACAGAGCCGGAACCAAGGCTGAAGGTGTAACCCTGTGACGACCGCTCCGTAGCCTGGTCGTCAGCCCAAGAAGCGTCTGCGTGCCCAGTGAGGACCACTGGACTCTGCCCTCCAAGCACAAGCCCCATGCCCGACGTACTACACAAGTAGCGCAACACCCTCTTCGCTGCAGCCATGTGCTCCGGTCTGTGTCTCCCAGGAGCAACATAGCGTGCGAGAATGCTAAGAGGGTATGCAAGGTCAGGTCGAGTGCAGGTCATCAGGTACATGAGGCAGCCAACAAGCTCTGGGTACGGGCCACTCGACTCTACGGACTCATCCGAAGGCAGAGCTGAGAGCGAGTGGCGAGTAGGCAGAGGAGTGGCCTGAGGCGAGGAGTACGTGAAGCCGAAGCGCTGAAGGACCTGCTGCACCATGTGTGACTGAGTCAGGGTAATGGTGCGGCGTGCTCTGTCCCGGGTGATCTGCAAGCCAAGGTAGCTGCGCAGTTCACCCAGGTCTGTGCACCTGTGTCTCTTCTGCAGCTCGGACTTCACGTGGGCGAGTCCAGCAGTGTCAGCTGTGGCAAAGACCAAGTCGTCGACGTACACGAGGATGTAGAACGGCGGCAAAGAAGTGTCGGTGCGCAGAAACAGCGACGGGTCAGCAGTAGAGGGAGCAAACCCAAGAGCCGCAAGTGTAGTCCTCAGTGTGTCGTGCCACTCACGTGGTGCCTGGCGGAGACCGTAGACTGGCCGCCGGAGGCTCCACTGGGTGCCAGGAGGAAAAGACCCAGTGAAGCCAGGTGGGCGACGCAGCCAGATCTCCTCGTGCAGGCTGCCCTGCAAGAAAGCAGTGCTGAAGTCAAGAGAGTGCAGCTCGTAGTCACGGTGAGCAGCTATGTGCAGCAGTACCCGAAGAGTGGTCATCTTCGGGGTGGGAGAGAAGGTCTGAAAGTAGTCAACTCCCTGCCGCTGACTGAAGCCACGAGCCACGTAACGCGCCTTGAAGAAAGGCGGAGAACCCGGCGGCCGCTGTCGCGATATATATTTATATATATTTATAACTGCCTGTAGCTTTAGCTCAAGTGTAGTTATGTTTCCTTGTTGGTGGTGCACCTTTGCTAGTTTGCTATATGTACCTTGTGTGCTATAGTGAACAATACACACTCACTTTCTCTTGGCCCCGATTCTCTCGACACTCGCTTGGCCTAGGCTACTAAGCCTAGGCCCTAAACCCGGTTCCTAGTTAACTTAGTATTGTAACATGGTATAGAGCGATTAAGTTCCTGACCTAAGTTAATGGGCCCACCTATTCGTGGCACAGCGCTCGCTGCGACGGGCGCGGCGGCGAGCCGGCCGCGTTTCCCTCGTCGCCAGCCCGTCGTTTTTTCCCTCGTCGCCTGCCCGTCGCCATCCCGTCGCGTTTTCCCCCCGTCGCCAGCCCGTCGCGTTTCCCCCATCGCCAGCTCATCGCGTTTCCCACGTCGCCAGCGCGTCGCGTTTCCCCCGTCGTCAGCCCGTCGCATTTCCCCACCCTCACCACCTCTACCCGCGCCTACGCCTGCTGCCGAGTTTGCGCGAGAGTGGGGAAGGGGGGGGGACGGCAGAATGAAGGGGACGGCGACGGTGGCGGTCGTCGCGGCCCTTTCCCCCCCGTCCCGTTTTCTTCCTTCCCTTCGCCTCGCTCCGCCCGTCGCATTCCCCCGGCCCCCTGCTCGTCACCCCCCCCCTCCCCCGTCGCGACTGTTCGCGTGTGCAGCTGCGGTCGCTGTGGGTGGGAGAGGGAGGAGGGGAAGGGATTGGCGGCGGAACGCTGCGGGTGGGAGAGGGAAAGGGGGAAGGGAGTGGCGGCGGAATGCTGTGGGGGAGAGAGGACAAGGGGGAAGGGAGTGGCGGCGGAACAGCACCAGGCACCAGCACCAGCGCCAGCCACCAGCACCAGGAACCAGCACCAGCACCGAAGCCAGTCACCAGCACCAGCACCAGGCACCAGCACCAGGCACCAGCGCCAGCCGCCAGCACCAGGCACCAGCACCAGCGCCTGCCGCCAGCACCAGGCACCTGTGACCAGCAGCCCTACCTGTGACCAGCAGCCCCACCTGTGACCAGCAGCCCCACCTGTGACCAGCAGCCCCACCTGTGACCAGCAGCCCCACCTGTGACCAGCAGCCCCACCTGTGACCAGCAGCCCCACCTGTGACCAGCAGCCCCACCCGTGACCAGCAACCCCACCTGTGACCAGCAGCCCCACCTGTGACCAGCAGCCCCACCTGTGACCAGCAGCCCCACCCGTGACCAGCAGCCCCACCTGTGACCAGCAGCCCCACATGTGACCAGCAGCCCCACCTGTGACCAGCAGCCCCACCTGTGACCAGCAGCCCCACCCGTGACCAGCAGCCCCACCCGTGACCAGCAGCTCCACCTGTGACCAGCAGCCCCACCTGTGACCAGCAGCCCCACCTGTGAAGAACTGGACAGGGACCATCGTGGGTGGGGAGGGGTCTGGAGGAAGAACAGGAGGGAGGGAGTGCGGTTCCAGGGGACGGTTGAAATGGGGGGTGAGGTTACAGGGGGTTGGTTGATTGAGGGTGGGGATGTGGGGGTTAGTAAGAGGGGACGCTGCGGCCACCCCCCCACCTCCACTCCTCATCCCCCACTCAACCTCCCCTGTGTAAAAGGGGGTTAGTAAGAGGGGATGCCGCGGCCACCCCCCCACCTCCTCTCCTCATCCCTCACTCACCTCCTCCTTTGTTCTTATCTCCTCTCCTCCCCTGTCTCTCTCTCGCCTCCTCCTCCTCACCTCTCTACCGTCTTTCTCAACGCCTGCAATACCCTTTCAGGGGGTGTGACTTACTCTAGCTATGTGCTGCAGGAAGTTAAGGGGGTGTGTCGCGATATATATTTATATATATTTATAACTGCCTGTAGCTTTAGCTCAAGTGTAGTTATGTTTCCTTGTTGGTGGTGCACCTTTGCTAGTTTGCTATATGTACCTTGTGTGCTATAGTGAACAATACACACTCACTTTCTCTTGGCACCGATTCTCTCGAGACCCGCTTGGCCTAGGCTACTAAGCCTAGGCCCTAAACCCGGTTCCTAGGTAACTTAGTATTGTAACACGCTTCACCCTGAAAATCCACATGCCACTGACGATGTTCGCCCCAGGTGGGGGAACCTCGTCAACGTAGGTGCCTGTGGACTTCCAGGAAGCCATCTCTGCGTCCATAGCTGCCTGCCACTGAGAGGAGTAGGGACCCTCTATCGCCTCCGCGTAAGAGCGCGGAGTCGGGATGTCAAGTGCATCCGGGTCTCCCTCAGGGGTAAGCAGTACGGACACGAGATGAGGTGAAGCAGCAGCCAAACACTGGAACTCCTCCTGCCTGTCCTCAAGGACGTCCGTGCCAAGGGCACACTCACCCCCGACGGACGGAGGACAGACAGACTGAGACTCAGCAACAAGACTAGCAGCGTAGTCTAGACGACAGCGAGCAGCAAAGTCGACGAGCTCAGTAACTAGGGCAGACGCAGCAGTGGACTCAAAGGAAGGGTCAGTGACAACAGTAGCAAGGAGACGCGTGACAGTAGGACTGGCAGCACGAAGAGAGTCCGACTCCGGGTCAGGAAGAGCAGGAAGAGAGGACTCAGGAGGAGAAGGCAAAGGGGCACGCAGAGGAGCAGTGGACGGACGCAGAGACATCCGGTGCGTGCCAGGGTCAGGAGGAGGACGCTGATGCGAACCACGACCACTAGTGCGAGCAGCACGGACAGGCGACGCAGGGCGAGACGCAGGCTCACGACGCTCAGCAAGACCTCCAGTAGGACCAGTGTAGGGAGAAGGAGCAGGCAGTGGGGAGGCCGGCTGTAACTGTAACTGTGACGGGACAGGCTGTGGACACTCTAAGGGAGGAGGAGGAACAGTAGAAGGCGGGAGACCAAGAACCTGCTGAAGGAGCGGAACGAAGTACGGTCGAGGCCGCGCAGCGACTCCAGACACAGCAGGGACAGCACCAGTACCGCCAGTGGTAGCACCAGCGCCAGCAGCACCTCCAGCTCCAGTACCTCCAGCAGCACCAGTAGCACCCCCAGCAGGACCGCCTCCAGGACCGACAGCAGTAGCCTCAGCTCCAACACCCTCAGTAGCTCCAGCTCCAGTCGGACCACGAGAAGACGCAGTGGCACCAGCTCCAGTAGTACCCGCAGGCCCAGCAGCTCCAGTACTCCCAGTACGAGCACCTCCAGGACCCGCGGCACCAGCACCCTCAGCAGCCGAAGAACCTCCAGCTCCAGCAGTACGCCTCCACCGCCGGGCAAACCACTCGCGCAGCTCCTGTGGAGAGAGTGGCTCCCGCCGAGACGAAGCACCCGGAGAACCTCCAGGCACAGTACCGCCAGACGGCACGCAAGCGGGCCCAGCGCCCTCAGGCTCCGCACCCCCAGGCTCAGCACCTCCAGGCGTAGCACCCCCAAGCTCAGCACCCCCAGGCGTAGCACCCCCAGGCTCAGCACCCCCAGTCGTAGCACCCGCAAGCTCAGCACCCCCAGGCGTAGCACCCACACGCTCAGCACCCCCAGAGTCAGCACCCCCAGGCTCAGCACCCTCAGCAGCACCAGAGTCACCAGCAACCTCGACAGGCTCGACTGCGTCTACCTGGGACACACCTGAAGGGGCAGGACCCTGAGGGGGAAGGGGGTCTACCGGGGGGGGACCTGGCACAAGGAAGAGCGGTGGCGGGGGGAGGGACGGAGTGCGGTAGGGGAAGAGGCGGTAGTAGGGGACCGACTCGTCAAACGTGACGTCCTGGGAGGACAGAACACGGCGAGAGGTGGGGTGGTAGAACTGCCACCCTGGCGCGTCAGGGGGGAAGCCAAGGAAGACACAAGGAGCAGCACGAGGGGACAGCTTGTCCGCAGACAAGTCGCGGACAAACGCCCGAGATCCCCAGACACGGAACGCAGACGCATCGCCAACCTTCCCCGTCCACAGCAAAGCTGGGGAGGTCTCCGGCATGGAGACCCTGGGCTGAAGGTTGATCTGATGCGCCGCGTACCGAACCGCAAACGGCCACAGAAAATGGGGGGCAGCCGCATGCATCATGGACGTGCGGGCGACGTCCATGACCATGCCAATGCGGCGCTCAGCAATCCCATTTTGCTGTGGAGAGTCCGGAAGCGTGAAGGTCTGGCGGATGCCTCGTGCACGACAGTAGGCTCGCAGAAGGCCAGAGGAGAACTCTCCGCCTCTGTCAGAGTGCAGACGCAAAACAGGAAAGTCCGAGCCGAAGCTCTGCCTGAGCTGGAGACGAGCTGCGCGGATCCAGTCGATCAACACCTCAGTGACATCACCCTTGCTGCGCAAGGGGAAGACTGTGGTGTAACGCAAGTAGTCGTCAACCACCAGCAGGAAGTAGCGCTCGTGACCCTGTCCACGGACGCGGGCCGGGCCCCACACGTCCATGTGAAGCGTCTGCAGCGGGGCCTCTGTCGGAGGAAACTGGGAGGAGTGAGGGGCAGCCCGCTGCCGCCCCTCGACACAGGGGACGCAGGTAGGGGCAGGCCCCGGAGGAAGGGGAGGGAGGGACCGGGGAAGACCAGAGACAAGGACATGGGAGGCCATGCCTCGGAGACGAAGCAGGGAGGGGTGACCAAGGCGGTGGTGCCAGAGGAGAGTCTCGTGAGACAGGAGGCGACACGAGCAGGGGGCAGACTCAGGACCAGACCTGGACGCCGCAGCAAACACCTGACCCGACGCAGCTACCTGACCAGACGCAGTGACTGGAGGAGACGCAGTGGTCAGTGTGTACAGGCTCGACCCCGGCCGACGTGTAAACGTGGCCAGGTGTCGGCCTGTCCGAGCGTCCGTGCAGTGGGTCACCCGCTGGCTCGCAGGAGTGAACTGGTGAACCCCCGCATCCTGTAGGTCAGCACCACTCACCAAGTTCGTAGAGAACGAGGGGAGGTAAAGACCAGACAGGGTGCCAGAGGGGGCCGCCGGACACGGGAGGACAGTGGAGAAGTGAGCAAGGACAGGACCCCCAGAGGGGTCTGCCAGAGAGACTGCAACTGGCCGACCAAGCGGCGTGAGTGTGGTGCGGTCTCGAAAGAAGGGGCGAGAAGCCCCCGAGTCAAGGGTGAAGGTGTGGGAGGCCGAAGCCGACGCAGTACCTGAGAGAGCAGACTCACCAGCACCTGAGGAAGCAGACGCACTAGCACCTAGAGCAGCAGCCTCGCTAGCACATAGAGCAGCAGCCTCACCAGTACCTAGAGCAGCAGTCTCAATGCCCGGGTCGGGCGGAAAACACCGGTAACAGTCACCCTCATCACTAATAGTCACAGCATACATGGCAGCAAGAATAGCATCAAAGTCAAGGTCAAAGATAGCTACTCCCGCCCTAGACAGCTCGCCCCAGCGAGGGATCTCAGTGGCCTCAGGGAACTGGTGATGCCAAGCGTCCGTCAGGCGGCCAAAGCAGCGCTGGGTGGAGTGCGCACCCCCGCACTGCTCACCCGCGCGGTCGCCGGTGCGTAGGACGTAGGTGCACGGACCAGTACCCCAACCCCGCTGGCGTGCAGCGTACAACTCACGGAGCTGCTGAGGGGGGGGGATGTCCCGAGTGCGCTGCTGCTGCTGCTGCTGCTGCTGCTGCTGGCGCTGACCACCACCGGAGCCAACCCTCTGCGCAGCGCCACCCCGACCAGCTCCACCTCCTCCGCCGCCGCCTCCTCCACCGCCGCCACCTCCACCACCTCCGCTCCCACCGCCACCGCCGCCTCCGCCTCCGCCTCCACTGCCGCCACCGACACCTCCACCCCCGCCACCACCCCCACCGCCACCCCCACCCCCACCGCCGCCTCCACCGCTGCCTCCACCGCCCCCGCTAGCTCCTCCAGCGCCCCTGCCCCCCTTGCCCTTGCCTGGGCGGCGTTTCCCGCTAGGGGTAGACGCCGCACCGACCGACTCAAGACCAACGAGGTCGGCCGCAGCAGCAGAGGCAACAGAGGGCAAGAGAGGAGAGGGGGAGCACCCCTCAAATACAGGGGCGCGCGGGTCACCACGAGAGGCTCCTACAGCGACTATGCTCTTCTCTGCTGCTAGGAGGCGCTCCTCGAGGAGGTCAACGGTGAGGGTGGTGGGGCAAACAGAGAGAAAGTGGTCCCTGACCGGGCGAAGGGTGTCAGGGAGGCGGGTGACTATGCAATAGAGGGTGATGTACATAGGGGGGGGGTTCTTGGCGCAGAACTCAGCGGGAAGGGCAGCGCGGTAGCGAATGTCACTAGTGCGGAGGTGCGTAATGAGGTCAGCAACTGTGGGAAAAGCTGCGAGGTCAGGGAAGAGGTACGGGAGGATGAGGCGGCTAAGTGCAGCAGTGGCAGGGGAAGAGTAGCGTGCAACTACAGCGTCGTACAAGGTCTTAGCACTCTTGTACTGGCTAAAGTGCGCACGCTCAGAGGTAGGCAAGTGGCGACGCGCAGCAAGACGTGCAGCAGCATCGCGTGTGGCCCACTGTGAGCGAACAGTGGCGTCAGCATCAGCAGCGGGGGCAGGAGAGGCACCAGAAGTGAGATCAAAGAGGGAGAGACCGTCTGCCCTATCGCACTGTAGGAAAAGCTGCAGGTCATCTACCCAGACGTCAAAGTCAATGGCCCGACCCT